TATATATATATATATATATATATATATATATATATATAGCAGTAGCGTTATGGATGATGTACCCGCGTGTTTCCCGAATCGAGGCTAGAATGGACCACTGATGATGGTGATCATTGGAGTATTCTCCTTTGAGATGAATGATCTTGCAGGGCTAAAAGAGTGGAGCTCTTTTTTTAGGATTAGAATTGTCCTTATCTTAGGATGGTTGCTTGGAGACTAGTGACCTGACCTTACCCGTGGACACACTTTGTCTGACCCTTTAATTGAGACCTGTCTGGCATGGGAGATCCTACCGGAGACGCTTCTTCGCCACAACATGAGCACACGCATGTCGAATATAAAGAAAACTTAACACATAAATATGTTTGTTTTAATTCATTTTGACTCAACAAATTCCTGAGTGAGAAAAAAAAGGGGAGCTTGTGAGGAAGAGTGGAGGATGAATGTAATGGTTAGCCCAAGTTCGAGTGAAGAGTAACAATAACAGTGATTCATCAACCTAAATTGCATCAAATAACAATGCAGTTGTATGAAAATCTTGATAAATTATCTGCAAAATGTGAGTGCACATATGACGACTACAAGGAAGGCTCAAATTCTATGAAACTTAAATTCTATGAATTTTATGGAATTATTAAATCCTATTTTGAATTCTATGAGATTTGTAGTCCTCAGTTCCCCATGAACTTCCACTATAAAAGAACTTATCATTAAATAGAATAGAGAACAGTTCTTACTCGCAGACTCTTTTAGTATTGGTATAGCCATATTAACTTTGATGTTTTTCGGAGTCTCTTGAGAATTCATCGAAATAGGTTTTGGAGAGAGTATTCAAGATTGGAGAGAGCTTTTTTGACTAGCTACCTCTTTCATATAAATCGTTTTCTGAATGTTTCTTACCCATCTGATCTACTCCTAATTATTCATGTTCCCGATTTTTACCAGAACTGTCCTGAATGCTTTCCGTTCTACACCGAGACCCCCCTGTTTGATTTCTTTTTTTTCCTCCAACTTTATCAATTACTCTTTTACTACGATGTTTTCGGAATTTTTTGAGAATTCACTGCGGAATAGATTTTGGGAGAGAGGATTCGAGATCGGAGAGTGCCTTTTTGACTAGCTATCCTTTTCTCTATACAAATCGTTTTCTGAATATTTCTTATCCATTGATCTGCTCCTAAATTACTCATGTTTGTTTAATATCATGCTCTGTACATATATCAAGGAAAATCCAACTCACTTCATTCACACATCAGAATTATTCAGTTTATTCCACTTTTTACATGGTATATCTAATAAAGCGTGCTTCACGTGAATCCTGCTAAATAAAATAATCACTTCATAAAATAGTGCACTGTATGGTGCAAAAATTAAATGATGCCTAGAGAAACTGAATGGAGACTAAGACATGAATCCAAGAAGGAAATTCGAATAAATACTGAATACTTTTCTAAATTCCATTCCAATTTTGTAAAATTCCATTCCTAAAATTCAAGATTCTTCTTTCGAAATTTTGTGAATAACAGAATCAAGGAAATGAATCAAATTATTTCCGATCCTTCGCACTAAAGGAAGGAAGAACTTTATTTATCGTGACGCTACCAACTTGCAAATTCGAATTACCACTGGCTCCTGATGATGCGGATTTCTTTGCTGGAATAATTATTAGATGTTTTGGGAAAGAGACATTTTTCATATCGAGATGCAAATGAATCGAAAATGGTTCTTACCAGAAATTCTACTTTTCAGGATTCAACTGGAATCAAATTCAACATTAAACTCAAACAATTATTTATAGCAGTGCTAGTAAAACAGTAAATAATATTAATGCAGAAATAAGAAGTGATGTTAGAAATGAAAAATCAAA